CAAACGTCTACATATATATATGTGTGTATGTACATATATATAGATGTAGAAAAATAAATTAAAATGAAATATTTCAACAGATTTTCATAAGCGTAGAAAGAGTGAAAATTCCAATTTTATGGTTTTAAAAAAAAATCTATATATAAATAAATAAATAACGTTGTTATAGATGTGTACAGATGTGTATAGAAAAACACTATTTAATTTTTTTTTCTTTTTTTTTTTTGTATAAAATATCAAATAAATGCACAAATCAATGGCATATGGTGTCGCCTGCACAATCCGCGCTTAAATGGGGGAAAAAAAATCATTAAATAAAAGAAAATACTTATAATTCAAATAAACAACGCATAATGACATTAAATTATGATGGCATTGCCTTATTTGTACTTCTTCCTCTTCTCTTCTATGTATTTACATGAATGAAACAACAGTTTATTAAATTCTTTCTAATCTAAAAAACAAACAATAATTGTTGTATGCGGTTTGGCAGCACATTTACAACATTAACCAAACAATAATCCACAGAGAAGAGAGTGTTGTGGATACAAATGCTGCCCATAGAAGCATATGTCGGCGATTACAAATAATATGCATGTAGTGGTTACTGAATAGCTAGTTAATCAGTTTGAAATTGCAACGATTTGAAATAAAACAGGTGAGAGATAACCATATTCGCACTCAGAGTCCAATCTTATTTGCTTACCCAAAACAATTTCGTATTGTTTAATAAAATTACAAACCATATGAGTGAGTGTAGCATGTGTGCGATTAAAGTAAAAATATTTATTTATGCATAATACAATACATTACGTACGAATAAATCTGCAGGATATGATTTAAAAAAAAAAAAAAAAACAACAGAGTAACCAGAGGATCATATTATGCGCATATTTACACCCACATTACAATATTTTTATTAATTTAAAATTTTAAAATATCTAAAGAATATTATACACGCTATACAACTTCTGGTACATGGGTATATTAAGCTTGTGTCGATATATGCAGCATCCAGAAGAATCTGAGATTCTTGCCTGTCCATCTGTCCGTCTTATTTTCTTACGTTCAACCTAGAGACCACAAGTTTTAAGATATTTCGATGAAATTTGGTACACTAATGTGCCTTAGCCCAAACAGGAACGCTTTTGGAAATGGCTCGCTTCGGATCACTTTTCCACCCACTTCCCATGCAGGGCATTATTTTAAAAAGTGAAAAATTATAGGGTGGCATAAACTATTTAATGTTGAGCCATGACACTCTATAGTGTTTTCATTTGTTACGCCCTTTACCGAACGATGAGGGGTATATTCGTTTTGTCAAGACATTTACAACGCCAAGAAGGAAGTAACAGACAACATATATATACTCTCGAGATCAGCATCAAATAAATTCTAAATCGATTTAAGCTTGTCCGTGTGTCCGTCTTTTTAATTTCGGTTGTAAACATTCTCTTAGCCCCAAAAATGGGTCAAATCGATCGAAGGACACGCCCACAGCATCAAGTGAACTGAGAACACTCCTGTTTTTCAAAAGGAATAAAAAAATTGGATGTTTGCCCATTGCGCATAAACTATAGCAGATAAATGTACGAAATTGTGCAACATATTCAATGGGCGATGCCGTAGTACCTGTAGAAATTTGAGAAAGATCGACCGCATCCACCCAATGTTATCAAGTACGTTTTTTCCAGTACGCTTACAACGCGCAAAGTCAAGCTTCAAAAACCCCATAAAGTATATGAATTCTTGATCAGTTTCAACCTCGGAATGGACCTAAGCATGTCCGTCTGTTCGTCTGCCATCTGCCCTACTGTCTAGAGTATGTGGTAAACATTCTCCCGTTCGTAAAAGTGTAGATCGCCTACAAATTTGCCAAAAGAATTTGAAAATGATCTAAACCAGTCAAACGGCACGCCGCTCGCCTATGCCACAAAAGCGTTGAACAACTTTCCATTCCGTATGTTCCGTGTTTTTGCTTGTACAACACATATACCATAAAAGTTCCCACTTTCCCATTCTGAAAGATTGAAAAATCCAACCTTGCCCGCCCAATATCGTAGAATATGAAAACGACCAAAAATAATTTCTTCACTTCTTCTTTAGCACCTTTTACATTATTACGATCTGACTTATCTATTTTCTTCTAAAGACGACTTCTATTTTTCTTGTTACAAGATTTCTTCCCAATTAGCTTTTCACAGCCCACTCATCTCTTCAAATCCTTTTATTTTGAACTTCAGCACAAGAGATTTTTTAAGAAAATATTAACCCAACACATCATGGCTTCAGTTATATTTAATTTACTTTTAACACACTTAGTTTGCAGGATTGTGCTCCATAAATCCTTTTATTTGATGTTCATATTAAAGAGTGTTATTATGAAAAAGGATAATGCGTCATTTTGTGGCGCCCGCCATACTTAATGCGGAATACGGCATTATAAATTGTCGTATTGTGTTCGCTTACCTCTGTTATTTGGCATCAATTTCAAGCGGATCGTGCAGAAAAGGCTACCATACAACACCGCGATGTTTGCCGTATTCCATGCAAAATTAACATCCTTAGCTTGTCTTTTTCTGCTCTCCTTTTATTTGATACCCTTATCAATAAAATTGTAAAAAAAGGGAAGCACGTCATCTTGTAGCCGCTGCTATTTAGATTATACAGAAAATTTTATTGTCACACCGTGTATTGTTGTTATAGCAAGGAAAGGTATGTGCACAATTTCAGCAGCTGAAATGCCTAAAATATTGATTGACGGCTTCCTTTCTTTCACACGTTTTCGCGACTGTCTGTAAAGTTGCAATCTCGGTGTAACTAAAGGTGAGTGAGAAATTTCATCTTGATTCAATATGTGGCAGCACACGCAATATGGATTGGAGATTTGTAGGCCGACGGGAAAACGAATTAAAGAAAGGCTTATGAAGATCTAATTAAATATTTGGGAAGCTTCGACTCTTTCTCCATCATTCTCTTTCTCCATCATTCTCTTTCTCCATCATTCTCTCTCTCTCTCTCTCTCTCTCTCTCTCTCTTTCTCTCTCTCTCTCCCGCTCTCTCTCCCTCTCTCTCTCGCTCTCTCTCTCTCCCTCTCCCTCTCCCTCCCACCCTTTCTCTGTCTCCCTCTCCCTCTCTCGCCCCTTCTCCCTCTTTCTCTCTCTCTCTCTCTCTCTTTCTCTGTCCAAAAGTTTTCATTATTACTACGTTGATCCAGATGCCTGGTAAAACTTTATGGCCATGAATATGCCGCTTCGGTTTCGACAGGGATGGCTCTTCCGGACTAATCCATGACTTTTTGCACTTGGTTTTGCCATGGTTGAGCCACTTTTTATCGCCAGCAATACGCTATAGAAAAATCTTTTTTTTTGCCTGGCAACGAATTCCCTCCACCTGGATGTGTCCCGTCGTATGTAAACGTCTAAAAACAGTTGACTCATCAATTACTAAGCTGCTCGAATTGTATTCCTTCAGAGTTTGAGTTAGGTTTTCGTCCAATAAGTCCTACACTTCATTCGAACTTCAAACTTTCTTGGTCCCCCAAGCCATTGTCAAATCATCAAATTTGATACCAAAACCAACAATTGGGATACGACGAAGCTGCATTTTCGTAAGCTTTCAAAAGTGTTTGATGGGCTTTAGCAAGCAGATCTCTTTAAATGTAACAACAAAAGAAATGAAAGTCAAAAATGTAATTTTAAGCGTTCCATGATTAGCGTCTGCATGCACTGCACTGAATTAGTCAGTGACACTAAATGGGAGACTGTTATCTTATGTCGAAAAAGGTCAAAGTAAAAACACAAAAGGTTGTTTATATTGAATAGTGTAGTCGCAATAACAAACATATCTGTAAGAGAGAAGCCTTGACAGTAATCCTGCTATAGGAAATTTCAATCTCTCTAATTATTTGGTGACTATTGAACTATCATGGCTTGTATAAACTTACTCAAACGTAATTATTCCTTATGAAAACAATATTTTAGTTATCCATTCCACAAGAAGTGACAGAATTTTATCTTAAGGCCTTAAAAGCTTAATATCAATGACTCTGAATTCAATCTATTCGTTTTGATTGAATTGAGAGAGAGAGAGAGAGAGAAAGAGAGGGATGAAAATTTTGATTTTACCTTTATCATCAATATTTCTCTAAATCGTCCATAATTAATATAATAATTGTTTGATTATATGAATGATGAGTCATTTCCTTATGAACTGATGTAATTGAACCAGCAAAGCTATAGTAAATAATACTATGCGATGCCGAAATAATGCGCTCTCAAATTGCGAATGTTACCAGCTTGCAACAGATGAACGCAATTGAACTCACATGATCGAATATATTGTGTGTATATGTGTAAACTAATCTTGTCCATGACTACTCGTTTATAATGGACATGACACATGCATAATGGCAGTTGACAAATGCATATGACCTTCTCTACATTCGGTTGATATACCTAACTATATATGTTTGTATATGAGTTGCAAGCATTTGCATCGACCGGCACGGGCATATGCAATTCACCCATTTAAAACAATAATAAAGTGTAAAGGCGTTATTTGTAGTGTTTTATGCATAGGCGAAAACTGACGATAATAACAAATTTCTAACATTTTCAACAAATATTTGATAGCTAATTAGATCAAAGCATTCACATAGGGGGGCAATGTTGGAAAAGAAGTCAATACTAATGACTCTGAACAAAGAATCGAGAAAAATTTACGCGGTATTCGAAATAAATTGCTTCGAAAGAAATTAATGGGTGAACGTAATATGAACGCGTGATGGTGTTAATTATTGCATCGTATATATCTAAACAAATAGCAATTGAGGTGACGACTGAAATCAGATGAAGGTGCGAAATAATTAAAATGCATTAAATAGTTCAAACCATTGGTGTATGGCAGAACAGTATAAGTCGCAATTTTAGAATTTCAATATATATATATTTTTTTTAATTTTCTATAATTTATGCATATATATATACTTTTTTTTTCAGGCACAAACTTTATGGGTGTAGCTGTTCATGAGTTTGGTCATTCTTTAGGTTTGGGTCATTCATCCGATCAAAATGCTATCATGTACCCCTGGTATCAGGGCTATGAGGTAGATGTTAATTTACCCGACGATGATCGTTTGGCGATACAAGAGCTATACGGTTCAAAAGTAAAAGCATGGGGTCCTTATAAGCCACAGCCAAGGCCAACTACTACTACAACTACGACGACAACAACGACAACGACGACAACTACAACCACTGCGCGTCCTTTGGTATATTATCCGCAGCAACGTCAGTATCCCGATTACCGTCACAATTATCCACCATATCCATCATACCCGAATGAACCCTACGATCCAAGACGCACTGGATCCCGTCACCATCATCATCAGCAGCAACATCAAACGCAAAGGCCGTATTATCCGGAAGCACCTGTTGCCACCAGTACGACAAGGCGGCCAAGGCCACGCACTGAAGCACCACAACGTAACCCCTATAGGCCTACCAAAACCTGGCAACATCATTACAATATATATCCAACCAAACCACGTAAACTAAAACCGGATAATTGTCTAACTACGTACGACGCCATCTCCATGATAAGAAGAGAACTATTCATATTTCGCGGCCAGGTAAGGGTGAGAAGAGATTTTTCAAATATCTCTGATTTATTAATATGACGGTATTTTAGTTCCTGTGGCGTATTGGTGAACGTGGTTTATACCCTGGATATCCGACAGAGACTCGCCGTTTGTGGACTTCGTTGCCTGAAAACTTTGTAAAAATTGATGCTGTTTTTGAAAATCGTGAACGGAAAATTGTATTTTTCATAGGCAAGTACAATTTTAAGAACATATATACTTTAGCTAAAGGGAGGCGATACAGTGTAAGGTCGTAAACTTATCTGCAACGTAAAACGTTGCATTCATATGCATTAAAATTCCATAATTAATTCATTGAAGCCAGTAAATACTTGCTAAACGATTTCACAGAAAAACTATTCAAGAAGATTAGATTATAAAATTATTTATTGAATGCGAAAAATTATTTTCCAAGAGTAAAAAACGATCCTTCCTAATACTCTCCACGCATCAGCGACAAGAAGACATTACCCGAAAGAAGCATATCGGAATGTAATTTTAAAAATTTCTTCTGTTATTCGGCAAATTAATAATCGAGAGCTCAATGACATTTAAAGACTAAAGGAGGAATAAGCTTCAATGACTCTAATCATTCTTCAAGAAATTTCATATTCATAAAGCGTGACCAATGTAGATATAACAATGAGCTTTTAACCCGTTCGGGTTCTTTTGTAAACATTTAAATGGCATTGTAAAATTTAATCTCATAATCGGATTCGTTTAAGAACATCAAACTAGTGCTTTTTAATAACCGCAATCTGACGATATCGTACTTGAATGAAATTAACTAAAATCAAACGCAAGCTTATCGTTAAATAGGCTACGGCAATAGAAATTGGATCCAAATTTGTTTCCATAACCTTCACTTCCGACTTAAATCAACGCAAATAAAAAAAAAAAAGCATTTTTTTTTTTCAAAATTCTAAGACGTTAACGCTGCAACAAGCAGATTAAATGATTTCGTTTCGATCATCGAAAAGCGTCATGCGTTTTTTTCCGCATGCCCATCTTTCTGAAATCCCAACTGGGTGGTCTGTTTTTTCATTCATCAACTAAATCATGGTAAGAATGCCCTCTTGAACCTAAACATAGGGTTTTGTGCTACTTGGAAAAGGTAAAAATTGAATGGATTATAAGAAAGCATTTCGAATTTCCTGGCTTTTGCTTGAAGCTTACGACGTAGAATGTCGAGAGGAACGAAAATCATCTTGCTATCCTTCTATTACTCTCCACCCTTCATCTATTTCTTCCTCGACCTATTTACTAACACTAAGTCTTCTTTTCTTGTATTTATTTACTATCACTAAGTTTTCAGTTAAGCAGCCATTAAAGAGCTTCTTTTTGTATTTTACTTTATTGTTTTCGCGAAAAAAACTTTACTTTATTCACGTTTTTTTTTTTCAGGACGTTTATACTACGTTTTCGATTCGGTAACTTTGGTAAGAGGCTATCCACAACCTCTTACATCGCTTGGTTTGCCGCATAGTCTGACTTCGATTGATGCCGCTTTCGTATGGGGCCACAATAACCGCACTTATCTATTTAGTGGGACTTTGTATTGGCGTCTAGATGACGATACCGGCCGCGTTGAATTGGATTATCCTCGAGATCTTTCAATATGGGCTGGCATTGGCTATAATATTGATGCCGCCTTCCAGTACACAAATCGCAAAACTTACTTCTTTAAGGGTCTGGGCTATTGGGAATTTAATGATGACTTGATGCGTGTAGCTCATACCAAACCTAAGTTATCAGCTCGCAAATGGATGAATTGCCCGCGGCGGGCTAATGATGTCGATGAAGAACAAACGTGGACAGCACCATTAATATCAGAACATAATGACACCGATACGAACACAACGGCGCTAGCTTCAAAGCGAGCCTCATCAACATTCTTAATCCTAATAAGTTGTTTTATTGTATTATTACAAGAGTTTTACGGTGGTTGTGCAATACGAAGATAAGTTTAATATTTTGTACGCAATATAAAAGAAGGAGAAACATTTAGCTATATAAATTATAATATATATATATGAATATATATATATATATATATATATATATATA